AAATACTTTACAAGCACGATGCTTGAAATACAATAGAATAATGATTCACGAACGATCTCTTATGTCGTTGCGCAACTTTTTGATCTCATGTTTTTTAAAGTATTTAAATATTACTCTTCCTGTCCCTGACTGCACAATGCGTTTAAAAACATGTATACATTTTCCATTTAAATATTAAGGAAAATTTGGAATATTTTTGCACTTTCCAGGTATGTGAAATTATGAAATTTTCGTTAATAAAATAGTTTACCTCACATTACATTTAATATGCTGAACAGACATACTTACGTTTAAAAGTCTGTGGATATTATTGTTTAATTATGATATCAAGTTTGCGTGCATTCTTATGTAAAATTTTCAGAACTATTTTTTAAGCGTGTCGTTTATTTAATATATTCACTCTCCCATCGTTACCGGCTGCTTAGCAAAGGGCTTTAAAGCAAGAACGTTGCACTTAGCAGGATGATGACCGCAGAAGGAAGCTTTCTCAGGGCAATTGAAAATTACAAATTACCTCGGTCAATATCCCGATTCTACTCTCACTTTATAATGTAGACTCTTAGTCCCATCGTCCTTTGAATCGATGACTTTCTCCGAAATTAACTGCTTAATTTTTCAAATAGCCCGGAAGTGAAAATGCCCTGAATGAATCTGCCCTGTTTTAAGTGCACGGATTAGGGCTATTGTATAACATAGCGAAACACCAACGTTATCATAACCAGCATTAAATCCAACAAAATAAATAAAGGAAGAACTATTGGTCCGCTTAGCCTCGCTTGCTAACGTCAAAGACAAGAGAATTCTATTCTGATAGAATAAAAATAAAGAACACAAAATCATGACAAACATAATTATAAGAGTCTTTTGTATATAATGTTGAAATGAAAAATCTAGTGTCACGAGCGGATTCGAACCCACGACCTTCGGCTTTTTCATTTCAACCAAGACCTTACATATAATTCACTAATTTTGTGGTCCGCTTGATCAATTAATATATTACAATTAATTAAGGTTTTTAGTTGAGATAAAGAAAGTCAATGGCACGAGCGGGATTCGAACCCACGATCTTAGGCTAGATACGCCGCTGCTCTACCACTTGAGCTATCGTGACGATCCACTCGGACACCAACTTCCCATCTCAACCCTACCTTTTCAATTTTCCCTCCTTTTTGCCATTCTCTCTCTCTCCGTGGCCATTTCATTTGTCGTCGAAAATCCAATCCGATTACACGACATTTGGGTTCGAATCCCGCTCGTGCCATTGACTTTTTTATCTCAACTAAAAACCTTAATTAATTGTAATAAATATAATGGATAATTATAAGTATTCATTCAATTTTGTTCTGATAAAACTTTCTTGTTGGAATGATGGAAACTTTATTGGGTCCATTCTATTCTCGCTAGATTACGTTTCAATGGTCTTCACGCTATCTTCAGTGAGGATGTAATAATAACACGATAACTCAATGAGGTGATCATTTTCGATCATGTGTTCATCCATTTTAACTTTTATGTCCGCTATTCTTTGCTCTTTATCGTTTCGAATTTTGTTTAATTTAATTTTTAAGAATACTTGGGAACAGTTTTAAGTAGATCAAATTGAAACTATCTCCGTCAGTAAGGTTTTTGGATGTTTGGCTTAATATGAATGTAAGAGTTACCTTTTAGTTGTTAACGACTTGTAGATTGCGAAATGTTTACCCAAAATGGAAAACAGTTCCGGCAAATAGTTAACATGGAATCGCAAAGCGCAAATATTTTGAAGACAAATAAAAGGCGAGTCAGTAGTATGGATTGTATTAAAGTAAACAAATAAGGAAGGTCTAGTATTCCAAAATTCCAGGTGGCTAAAATTCCAACAATTTCGACAAGTAAATAGTTTGTTTCAAATTTATACATGTAAATCTTATTCAAGTTATATTTCACCCAATTTATCATAGAACCATGTCATTTTAAGTCACACTGAAATTGGTCACAGGATAATACTGGGCGAAAAATCCTGAGGCGATTAAAGACGCTCGTCCTTGCCTCTCCGTCGTCAGGCGAGACGATGCGGACGCAAGATGGGCTCGGAGGCAAATAAAGCAATTAAAGAAAAACTAGAAGGGCCGATAAGATGTCGCCTGGAGTATCGGTTTTGACAGAACTACCTGTTATTTCTAAACAATGCCGTTTGGGTCATGTAATATCGGAACAGACTAATGCACCCAGGTACTATCAAAGACACAGACTGTCTTTTTTTTTTTTTTTTTTTTTTTTGGCCTGTCTACATAGCACTTTGCTCCACTCTCGATTCAAGGACCTCAATGACTCCTGCCTGCTATTTACAATTTCCTAATTGCCTCCATCTCCGGACGGTGGAAACAATGATTTCACGAAAGTACCTTCCACGCTGTGAAGTACCAAAATGCAAATTTGGGAATTGTAATGCTGAAATGTGTTTGAGACAGGAATTGAAATATAGCTTTAAAAGGAAAAATTAAATTTAAGCAAAATCTGAGATTATGACTTCATCCATCCTAACTCCATATTAATATCATATTAAAAACATAAATATATACTAATTTTATATGCTATGTTGAATCGGACTACGCAAAATAAAATAATACTTAAATTTCCACTTTTAAGCCTGCAAATGTCGTATTTTTTATGCAAAGGCTAATTTCTTTGCACATTTGGAGAAACATCCATTCATATTTTTAGATCAGTTAAGCCGATTCATGAAAAATAAATCACTCATTATTGAAAATTATTTTTCCTGTTGAGGATCAGGTCAAAGTGTCGAGATATTTTTAGGCGCCCCTCCTCGGTTATATGTTGTCGGACTTCACGTTCTTAGCTTTTACCCGGCAACTTGTCGGTTTTATGAAGGAATGCGAGGAACGCCCCAAAACTGACCCCCTGGGTGTCGGTGGTGAATCGGGCGACGCCCATTCAAGAACCTCTTGGGTCACACTTGACAAATCTCGTTCATTTGTCTTGGCTCACATCCTGCCGCACCCCAAAAACAGGAAGCGACCGTGACTATCTCTAGCATCTCTCATCGCCCCTTCTTATCGTTCTGAACTTTGCGGTTGGTGATTTCGACTTCCAGTCGTGAAAACGATTCAACGAAAAAATTAAAATTGTTCGAAAGGTTCGTTACTTTGTAATCCGTCTAGTCTTCGGTATGTAACGCTTCAACACAACCAGACCCACGCACACAGTGAGATTATGTGTATAGTTTTTGATTCCATAGCCTTGACTTTGACATTATGACAAAATTAATTATCATTAGGTAAAGAAAATTGACAGTGTGCCAACTTTACTTGTACCTACCATTGCTATTTGATGCAATAGAAGATCGTCAGATCAATTTGATTGAACAAATTTGGTTTGCACAAAATTGAAATTGCGCCAATTTTACCAACTATTGTATATACGGAAGCGTGGAAAAAAAAAATTAAAGTAATTTGGTTTTTCGTTTTTTTTTCATCTTTCTTATGTGTTTTGGTTGATTTTTAAGTTGAATTTTTCTATCTTTTTGAGCTTTGTTAATACGTAAAGTTGGGTTTTACAACTTCTGTATTGTTGTTCATTTTTTCTTTTGTCTGTGTTTAGTGTAAATACTTTGAACAATTTTTCTGCTTAGTTGTTTGCTATGTTTATTACCTCTTTTTTACATGTTTTGTTTCATTTTCAAGTCGAATTTTTCTTTCTTTTTGAGCTCTGTTGATACGTAAAGTTGGGTATACAACGACTTTATTGTTGTTCTTTTTTTCTTTTGTCTGTGTTTAATGTAGATAATTTGGCCACTTTTTCTGCTTTGGTTATTCGCTATGTTTATTGTTTCGTTTTTATACTTATGATTTGATTTTTAAATTTATTTTTTCTTTCTTTTTGAGCTTTGTTAATACGTAAAGTTGGGTTTTACAACTTCTGTATTGTTGTTCTTTTTTTCTTTTGTCTGTGTTTAATGTAGATAATTTGGCCACTTTTTCTGCTTTGGTTATTCGCTATGTTTATTGTTTCGTTTTTATACTTATGATTTGATTTTTAAATTTATTTTTTCTTTCTTTTTGAGCTTTGTTAATACGTAAAGTTGGGTTTTACAACTTCTGTATTGTTGTTCTTTTTTTCTTTTGTCTGTGTTTAATGTAGATAATTTGGCCACTTTTTCTGCTTTGGTTATTCGCTATGTTTNAACAATATCATTTGGAAGAGGATTAATAAGTGTTGACATTCATACAAATGAGTAATCCTGTAAACGTAAACAGAATATTTTATATAGATTTTTTTTAATGAAAACTTAAAATCCTGCATTATTTTCCGGACAACCCGATATAATATTATTTAGTCGTCTATTGACAAAATTACTTCTTTTAATTAATTTTTATGTAAGGTTTTGATGGAAATGAAAAAATTAACCGTAACGAGGGGGATTCGAAAGCTTTTTTCAATGTTTTTGTCGGATTTCTCCAAAAATGAATACTTCAAGAGCTACATGTAGATTTATGGCGAAAACCGTACAAAGTTGGAAAAAAATGTTTTATATCCGCGAAAGGGTTAAAAATCGGACCATAGTTCCTACGAACGGTTCTGTTGCATTTGAGTTGAACTTTGCGTACGAGTAGCGAAGCACCTTTTTTAAAGTTGAATTGAGCTAAATGGACATTTTGCCATGTTCTTGGAATACAGCTAGGTTCTGCAGGTACTCGCAGGTAGAAAAGAGAATAGGCATTATAAGTGATCATTAACGATAATAACCGCAGAGTTCCCCATAATATATTTTAAGTGAAGAAACTTTCTTCTTAATGATTTCTATTTTCTATTAATCGTAGAAATAGAAGAAATTTCACTCGTTTAAAGCGTCTAATTCATTTATGCTTCTCTTGTAGATAACACGGTAATGATATAACCAAATCGCGATTTCTAAAGCATTATAAAATGAGGAGGGGAATTGAAATAAACTGGAAATTTCGTATTCTACATAATTTCGAATTTTTAAAAAAATACTCAGACTTAATATTTGCTGCATTTACGGTGTAATAGAAAAGATTTCTAATAAATTATAACCCGACTTGCTAGTCGAATCTAAAGAATTAATAGTGATTTACGTTTGGTTCCTTCCTATTTTTATTATTTTTTTAATTTGGAATTGTTAAGTTTTCTCTTCGATCTTAACTCTCTTTTTATTCAGATAGGATATTGTCTGTAAAACGAAACCTGAAATCTGTCTCTGTCCGTTGATAGCCGTGTTACGTGAGACTCACCTGAAACAAGCAAAGTCGATTATAAACGATTTTATAATGGCATTCTCTATGAATTGTAAGAGGTACAAAACGAGGAAAGGAGACGTTTACAAAGCCGTAAATCAAAACGGTCGAGGACGCAGGGGCGCGTAACAACCACAAGAGGCTTTTATGCTAACAAACCTGTGAGGTTATAAAAGAATTAAAAACGCCTGCTATGATTCGTGGGGTTTCGGGCGACTTCTCTAGAAAAAAACAACAAAAACATTCTGTTATTTGTGTAAGTTGATTTGTGGGAAAAATTCACATTTCCCTCATCGATACATATATAACTTGAATTTTACTTATTACTAAGCCGTATTCGGACGAGAAATCTTGTTTTATCTAAAGATATATTGGGGATTAGATATTTTCACTTAATAATAAGTACCACATTTGAGCATAAATTTCATTAGAGCAGATAAGATTTTTCCATTTTCCAATGATATTTGTTCATAATATCCTAGAACACACCCATGAAGGCTACATCTCAGGGTCATCAACATTATGTTCTGCTCTTAGATTTTTATAATTAATTACTTATTTTTTCGAAAGGGAGGGAGAAAGAGAGTGAAACAAGGAGGGAGGGAGAGAGAGTGAGAAAGAGAGAGATTGAGAAAGAGGGGGAGAGAGATTGAGATTGAGATTGAGATTGAGAGAGAGCGCGAGAGAGATAGAGAGAGAGAGTGGTGGGTTAGAGGGAGGCAGAAAAAGTGAGATTGAAAGAGAAAAGAGAGAGAAAGCGAGTGGGAGAGAGAGAGTGGTTATGGGAAATAATAAATAGATAATGAGATAATGAATAAGTACGTAATAGGTAAAATGAACTGAGGTGGAAATAACTTAAAAGAAACAGAAAGAGAAAGAATGAATGAGTGAGTGAGTGAGAGAGAGAGAGAGAAAAAAGATAGAGAGAGAAAAGAGAGAAAAGAGAAGGAAAGAGAGGGAGAGTGAGAGAGAAATCGAAAGAGTGGTTATGGGAGATAATAAATAGATGGTAGATGAATAGGTAGGTAATAGGTAAAATGACCTGAGGTGGAAATAATTTAAAAGAAACAGAAAGAGTGAATGAGAGAGAGAGAAAGAAGAGAAAATGTAGAGAGAGAAAAGAATGATTGCAAAGGAAAAGAGAGAGAAAGAGAAAAGGAAGAGAAAGAGTGAGAGTGAGAGAGATAGAGAAGAAAAGAGAGTGATCTTTTTATTTATTTATCTGTATAACTTTTGTTATAGGTATTTGAATTACGAGATTGTATAAATCCTCACCGTGCCGGTGTTTTTGAAAAAAGCCCGTTTGTATGTCGGGTTCGAATTCAGAGTACAGCTCCAGTGTGCTGAACCAGTTGAAAAATAGCCCAAGGCTGCGCAAACGAACATGTCCACTTTGGCGGACAAATCGATAGAATTGTCTTTTAAATGTCACACGTTTATCGTTTCTTCGGTTACATAAATGCAAGAATTAGGTTTTTCGTGGAGCCAGTTTTTATCAATGTAGATACGGCCGGGTTCGAGTAGTCCCACGAGCGTACGAAACACTTTTTGAACTGTGCTACGGGTTCGGCCCGGCCATATCGCCCAGACTCCATTAGACAATGTCAAGGCCGATTTCGGGAGGAAAACAGCTTTTTCTGAAGGACCTAAGGACGTTTTACACAAGCGGTGGATTGTCAAAAGCCGTCGTTATCGATCAAAAAATTCCGGCCTCTTCCCCAAGGTTAAGACGACACCAAATAACTCCATATCTACATTTCATTTTCATAATATATGGACCCTAAAGTACTATGGAATCCTGACACATGATCTGAAGAATAAAAAAATCGTATCCAACATTTGTATAAAAATTTTGATATCATTGATGACACATTTAAATTTGGGTATGTATCTGCAACTCCTGTACGGCTTATATGACAATCTACAACATAAAGCCGACATTTCATGAACCTTTTGATCGTCAACATAATCGGATTCTCAGCTCAGAAGCTTATACAACTCCTAAAACCCAAATCATTTACATTGTCATATTCCGTAAATAAAATAAACTACACAATATATTTCGGTCACCGTGAGAGTACAGTTATATGTATTCGAAATCAACAAAAGACTAAAACAATATTTTTATTTATGAAACAATTAGTTTTTTCTGTAAAAATAAACCATTAAAAACATTTTACACAATCTTTGAGTAATGTATTGGTTGAAATGAAAAAGTTAGTATAACGAGCGGGATTCGAACCCACGACCTTCGGGTAAATACGTCGCTGATCGACCACTTGACCTATCGTGACTTCCATCCACTGGAAGACCAACTTCCCATCTCAACTTACCTTTCGAATTTCACGCCTTTTTGCCATTTTTCGAATGTCGTATAATCAGGATTCGATTCTCGGCGACAAATGAAATGGCCACGGAGAGCATTATTGAAGATACTTCGTTTTACTTATTAAATCCATTTTAGTTCGTGGTCCCATTGACCAAATAACTTCTTTCAATTAATTAATCTTTCTGTAAGGTATTGGTTGAAATGAAAAAGTTAGTGTCACGAACGTTGAAAAATGGCAAAAGATTAATTAATTGAACGGACAACGAAATATAATGGATTTTACAAAATGATGCATTTTCCCTCAATTGAACAGTACAGCTACCATTCTGTATGGTTGGTTCAATCATAGAATTTAAAAAAATTTTCTTCTCGTAAAGGTACGAGGGAATATTAAAAAAATGAATTCAAATGACCTCAAAAAAATGATAATAGAGAAATATATCAATTTTTCACAAAAGCTAGAATTTTAGAATCGATAATAGCTAGGGATAGAAAAGCTCATTGATCATAGTAAATATAATTATTCGTGTCATCTAGGAAGCAAAAATTCGACAGATTAAAATATAGACAAAATATTACACCTTGAATCTTCCCTAAAAGATAATTCAAAGATGGATGATTAGTGAGTAATTTTCGTATCTTTTCTTACAAATAAACTCCAAAATATTCAATATTTGATAATGGTTTGGCAAGTTGCTGACAGCTGGAATAATGGACCTATCTCAAAATGAATGAATCAAACATGAAAATCATCTCTTTTGACTCAGATTTCAAACCTGTTTTTAAAAGCCAGATAAATTATTTTATTGTTAACATGTATATAAAGAATGTTAAAAACGCCTTCAAAGATGGATTAAGCACAGTGCAGACCAAACAAAACCGTAAGCTACAACCGATAAAAAACATGGAAAATTAAATTTAAGAAAAAACATTGGGAACAAAGGCTTAAGGAAAAGAGATTTGGAAAAATGTAGCGAACCAAAGTAATTGCACAAAGATAAGATTTCCGACAATACGTATTTGTGTATAAACATTATACATACACAAAATAGAAAATGTACATTGGAAAGTATAAAGAATGGCAGTAGAATATAAAAAATAATAAAATATATAACAAAATTTATGTAGTTTGATTTTTTTTAAATCAATAACATAATAATGCCATTAACTTAATAAATTATAATTCTTATCTAAGGTTGAGATGAAAAATTAATGTCACGAGCGGGATTCGAACCAACGACCTTTGGCTGGTGGGCTCGAATCCGGCTCGAGGCTATAACTTTTTAATTGTAACCAAGGCATTAGATAAAAAGTATAATTAATTCAAATAATTGATACTGTCAATTATGACTTGTAAAGTTATATGGAAAGGTATTAGTTTAATAAGTTTTTTTTAAATGACGTTGTTAACTGTGCATTTTTCTGTTCATCTCAGGTTCAGAATTGCTTCGATGAACCGATCCATGCGAGTTCAGTGGATTTGGGACCTCCATAACTGGCTGGCCTTGGATGACCTTTAGGAGGAAGATCCCTTTCCGCCCACAGAAGGAATTCCGCAGACCCCGCCCGGCAGAGGAAGCCCGGAAATGCCGTCGAACAACTTAAATTGATAAATCACGGACTTGGTGAGGTGCAAACCGGAGTCGTGCACTTGCCACTTGCCACGCCGCAACATGTTGAGGAGTACGAGTCGATCCCAGTTTTCCCAGTTTATAATTTCCCCCAAATGTTATGCAGTTATGTTCTACTCATAATACGATCTCGGACAACTTAAATTTGACTTAATATTGTATTTTTTCATTGGTTAAAAATTACAGTTCAACATAAACAAAAGCTAATAAATAAATGTTTATTGAAAAAGAACTAGGTACGAAGAAATTTTAATAAATTGGAATTATGTAATTTTAATTTTGTAGATACTTGGATAGACAAACAGTAATTATATTTTGTATTTTAGTTCCTTGAGTCATAACTATCAGCAATTAAATTTTCTATATGGATTATTTATTTACACAGTTTTGAAATTATGTGAATATTGAATATCATAGAATCGTATTTACCGGGGTAAATTAAAATTTTTTTTTTCATTGCTAATTAACCCTTGATAAACTTTTACTCGCTAGCGTTAATATTCAGTAAGTGTACCCAGTTTCTCGGTTCTCCCCTTGTTATTTAAAGATGGATATTCCAGATTTTGGGGTGAAAGGTGGAGAAATGTTGAGGTGAAAGGTGGTTGCCATTCAGGTTCCAACAATTTTAATAAATCCTTGTGCCTGAGGTTAATAAATTTTTGTAAAGTTGGGCCGTACATAATCCAGCTTACTTAAAACCAATGATTTTTTAATTGGCAATAAAACGTAAATAAGGCTCTTTTCAATTCACTAACTCGATTTTATTATAAAATGATTTATTTTTCGTAAGCTTACAACTGTCCAAAAGACGGAATTAATTAATACAGATACTTGTTTGATTCTACTTGAATATTAAAAGGGGAAAGAAAAAACTGAAAAATGGCATAAAGAAGGAAAATTCGAAAGGTGGGGTTGAGATGGGCAGTTGGTGTCCGAGTGGATCTTAGTCACGATAGCTTAGTTGGTAGAGTAGCGCTGTATCTAGCCGAAGGTCGTGGGTTCGAATCCCGCTCGTGACACTGACATTTTTATCTCAA